GTTCTTAAAGTGCGCATTGCCCTTCCTATCTTCCGCTTCGAAAATTGAGAATCAATGAGAGTGCCGTATCACCGTAGGGACCAAGGGAAACAGGGATCGTGGTTTAATTATCGGAAAATCGATGCAACCGTCTCTCCTCGCTATCGGGGGGCCAAGAGAAGCAAGGGTGGCCATCTTGGGCCGCACCCCGATCGTTTTGTTAAGTTGGTTCTCGCTAGCGGTGGAAGCACGTGCGTACACCAAGTACTGCTTCTAGCGATCTTTACCGGTGTATGCTTTGCAGAAGTTCAGGGTAACTCGTGAATTAAAAGGAGGAATATCGATTCCAACGGTATTACCGTTGCTATCGCGTCGAAAGTTACTATGCTTTGGTCATCCTCGAGGATTCTTTTAATTCATCAACGACTCGATTAAGAATTACCAATTAAGCGATACGAGAAACTAACAGAGAAGAACGACGATGATACCGGTGATACGTATTCACTGTACATACATAGTTGATACACTATGTGTATACAGGAGTACCGATAGGGTAGAGAAATTGATCGAACTGCAGGTGCCTAGGATACGATAGCAGGGTGATATTGATCACCGTAGACTGCAGTAAAAATACGCCGGCCATCAAGTTTGAAAAGCAGGTTCTATTTAAACGGGAGGACCCTTTAGGGGAGATCCGAGAAGGATATAATTGTCACGCTTCTCTGCGGGAGAGAATTACTCGAACTTGACGCGTTCGATCATTTTGCTGAAAGCTACTTTATAATTTGCACTTTTCTTTTTTCGAATAACAGATATAAGAGAGAGAAAGAGAAAAGTATAAATTAAACTGTGAACACTGTAACTTCTCACAAAATCAACGGAGTAATTACTTGAAATTAGGATTAAAATATATGGGCAAAATTGAAGTCGAAAAAATTCCGAGTATAATAACCGAGTATAAATCTGTGGTCACGAGTGTTTTAGCGGATCCACCTCGATCGCAGGAGTCATTCACCGCGGTAACGACTCCTCCCATTCTAGTTCTCTGCATAATTAAAACGACCCGCCATGGTAAAACACGCACAAAAAAAGAGAAAAGAAAAAAAGAAAATTCAACACGACAAAACGGTTGCATCTGTATTCCTCGGATAAGACAAAAGGCAGGAAAGGAAAAGGTGGAGAAGATTGAAACACATAGGACTCACCTACGATGACCAAGGGTGCCTTGCAGGTGTGACAGAAGCACTGCAGCACCGAGTCGCGCACGAGACCGATCAGCATGTTTCTACCGTTCGATTGCCTGCTGTTATCCGCGGATTAACTGTGCTCCGTACGTAAAATGATGAAATAAAAAGCTTATCGCGAGTTGAAAAATAGAGGGGAGAGAGCGCAGAAAAGTCGGCGAGAGGAACACGTCCGACTACTAGCAAAGAGAGGAGGGCCGAAAGTGGCTGAACTCGTATCTGGGGCGGTGGCTGGAGGGCGACTGATCCGTACAGTGCGCCGCGACGCCCCGGCATCGCTCAATATCACCCACTGGCACCTCTTCGCGTCCCTAGCAGCGGCAGACCACCAGCCCTCGCTGCAGCGGCCAGCCTACCCGACGATAAGCCACCCTTCCACCTCTGATAACCTCCAACCTCCAACCTCCACCTCGAGCAGGTTTAACATGCCTATACTGTAGACCCGGCTGCCGGTCGCTAGGCACACGTGGAAGCCTACGTGGAGGCGTAGAACACCATCTGTCCAACCCCAACCAACTCACAGAGAGCCCCTTATACTTTTTGGCTAAACCTCGAGAATACCGGCAAAGGTTCCTCCACTGATCAGTGTGTACGATACACCTTTCTTTCTTCCAGGATCTACATGTTTCGTGAAATTTTTCACATTTTATATCTGAATTTTTGTTGCACGTTTCCAGATTTTTCACACTTGGCTTTTTTGCTCTGGATTCGTTTGCGTATTTAATACAGTCCCACTTTGAGTTCTTTCACCTTTTTCCAGGATTTGGTATAGTTAGAATTAGATCAGGTGTGGTGAGAGGGTTGGAATTGGTCTAATAGTTACTACACGAGATATCCACCTCTGTGGGGCTTCTTATACGATACGAATTGATTTCTTCCTCAAGCTTGTACAGGCACGTGAAATTGTAATCTATGGTTAACTTAATTGGCGAAGATGAGTGAATTCGTTGTTGGTTAGATGATATTTCAAATGTAATAATTTATTTACTT